AAAATTGGAGATATAATAGTTTATGGTTCCGATTCAAGCAATGTTGGAAATCAAGAACCTCATGTTGATATGGATGAACTTACAAAAATGATGCAAAGCTTGTGATGTATTCTTTCTTCTTTTTTATAATTATTGTAAGCTTTTAATTTGAAAGTTCAAAAATAAAAATCAAAATAGAACTTGCAAATTAATTTGAAGTATTATTTATTATTCAATGAAAATATGAAACGAAAGCTTTCGAGTTTGATCGTTACATATTGGTCTTATTGAATAATTTTTTGTAGCCACTTGCTTTCAATTTTAAAATTTTAAAATTCCAATCTCAAATTTAAAACTCTAAACTTTAATGTTTAAATGTTTAATTTTATGCCTTAAAATACTTAGTTCCTTAATTAAAAGCTCGCAAATACTTAACTATCAATTACATTGAATAAGAAAAATATAATACACTAAAAAAAAATCCTGCCCGGTCCGAACCCGATAATCCCGAACCCGGACAGGCCCAATTAAACCAAGAATTTACTAGCCCGCTATTAGCACCATAAGTCAGCCCACTACCCATCCCGCCCCACTTACCGGACAAGCTGTTTTTCCCACGTGCATCCCGGACCTACCTCTCCGGTTAACACCCATAGTCCAAACAAGATTTATTTTGACCTCAATACTTCACGAGTGCTGAGAAAGTTGTTTAACCCAAAATTTAGATCCGGATCCAACCAATCAAATTTAAATTAAGTAGAGTCAATCTTAGCTAGTATTAATATCCAAAAGGCAAGATAACCGATTTTGCCGTAGATAATATGTATGTTTGACCGAATAACAATAAATGTGGACAACACTAAAAATATTCTATGACCCAAAAGGTGAAAGATAATATTAAACAATAATAAATCGCAATGAATGGCCTTTAAGTAAATAAAAACATGTGGGGTTACCCGAAAAGAGGTGAGATTTGTAGATATTCCTTCTGACAATGATGAATGATTGACGAGCCTTCAAATATTTAGGTTGTTCTTGGATCAAATGGAAATTTATGCAAGAATCTAAGTAAAAAGGATTTCTCGTGTGCTTGCAATAAAGTCGGATTCTATCTATAAAGTCAATATGTTTTCTTTTAAGTGAATCTCTCCTCCCCCTAACCTTCTATCTCTTTCTATTTATACGGAATATATACCTAGAATATCCTAATAGTACATGTATAGAGAATATCCACTAAAATATTCTCCTCTAAAGTCTTATCCTAAAACTAGCCATTATTCACTCTATGTACGGTGAGTGCTCGACCTCGGCCCTGATATTCGCTGAATTTTCGATCTCGATCTTTGCTGACTCTTTGACCTTGGTCTTCAATAGCTTCATCGGCCCTGCCCTTCACTTCTTAAGAGATTGCTTTGACGTCGGGTAGGCCTTTATCGAAGTCGTACTGGCAACATGTGGCAGTCTGTGAGTGCCTCTTTAATGTTAACATGACTTGATCATGTCAAAGGTAATTTTTGACCCATACAGTTAGTCCCTCCACTTATTGAGGTTATCCTCACAGTTGAGTTCAATGAGAGAATAATGTTGTTTGTGGTCGAACGTATTGAGTATCTAGAGTCGTAGTCGTCGTGGAGAACATGAAACGTGGCCCTCTATGGGCCGCATATTTCAAATACTTCAGGTTTCCCAGGTAATTGGTTAGAGTTATCTTTTCTAAGGGTTAAAGTGATGTCATTACATCATGCATCATTATGATGCATATTCCCGATCTGTTGCTTCGATTCGCACGTGACCCTTGATTGGATATGCCGTTCAATTCCGGTGCCAATTATGACGAGCCATTTTCAGGTTTAGTGGCATGATTTCTATAAATAGAGTTTCTTGGACCAGAATTTGAAGTTTTGGTCATCTAACTTTTCTAAGCACCAGCCTTCTTCTCTGCATTTTTCTTCTCTAAATGTCCTTTCCCTGTTTCGTTGCCCTACATCATTCCTGTAACGACCCGGCCGGTTGTTTTGAGAGTTAGAGCCCCAATCCCTCTTTAACTGCTTTCGTCTTATCTTTTTTCTGCTATTGTGACTTGTTGGAAAGATTCGTTTTGCGTTTTAGAGTGTTTTGGGACACTTAGTCCCTAAATATGACCTTAAGTCTTAGAATTTAGACCATAGTCGGAACTATGTGAAGACGGTTCCGGAATGGAATTCCATCCATTCCGTTAGCTCCGTTGGGTGTTGGGCTTAGGGGCGTGTCCGGATTGTGTTTTGGAGGTCCGTAGCTCATTTAGGCTTGAAATGACGAAAGTCGAATTTTTGGAGTTCTGGACTAGTAGTGGAATTTTGATATCGGGGTCGAAATCCAATTCCGAAAGTTGGAGTATGTCCTTAGTGTTAAACATGAATTGTGTGCAAAATTTGGGATCAATCGGACGTGGTTTGGTTGGTTTCGACATCGGTTGTGGAATTTTGAAGTTTCAAGTTTTTAAAGTTTGGATTGGAGGGTTGTCACACCTCCTTTTTACCTACACCCCGTAGAAGGGTATATATATAAGGGAGTTTTTCCAATTAAAGGACAATCGAAACGGGATTGTATATTTATTAAAAATCAGAGTCGCCACTTGGGATAATTTAGGGTGTCCCAAGTTACCGGTTTAAAATCCCGAATCGAGAAAGTTGACTCTGTTCTACAGCCTGCGAACATAGAAATCTGGGTAAGGAATTCTGTTAACCCGGGAGAAGGTGTTAGGCATTCCCGAGTTCCGTGGTTCTAGCACGGTCGCTTTGATCATACTTGACTTATTAAAATTGTTTAATTACTAACTTTAGATCCTATGTGCATTTGCCCTTTACCGCTTTTAAATCACTTGATTATTCGTAGTTAAAGAATTGAGTTACGCGTACGTATACTCTTTTCTTTTGGCGCGTCAAAAAATCATGTCACACGAACGTGTCCAGCATTAATAACGCTCCGTATTATTAAGAAAGTTTAGCCAAAGTTACGCGAACGTATACTCTGATTTATTTTTAAAGAAAGCATAACCGTGTCACGCGAACGTGTCCACAACCACGATAATATTTTAAATGGCCCTAAAGGTTCCTCTACGAATATATATGTTATTGTCTAATTAAACACGTGGGGCCATAAGCCATATTCTATCCTAACATGGTACACATCGCATGCCTTAATCAGCGAAATCTGATTAACTAAGAAAATATTATCACTACTTTTGGACTGAAAATTTGGACCAACTTTGGACTAACGAACAGAACGGATGGCATGATGGTTAAAGGATAACGTGAAAGAGCCTTGGGCTTGAACGAACTGGCTCTACGTGTGAAGAAGGGTGGCTGATCTGCACTCCAGGCCCAACATGAGCCCAGACCCTTGGAGGATCGAGCGTTGAGGAGTGCTGGACTCGGGGTCGAGTCCCCGAGCACGCGGGACATCAGATTTTGGCGGAACGGGCGTGAGCCCATTTTTATTAGTTAAAAGGACATGTCACACAAGCAGACTTAGGCTGGCCTTAATTTCATTAATTGGGCCAATATTAGGCCCAAGTCTAAAACCCCCTTTTATGCACAATTAGCTACTTGTAATTCCATTAACACTTCATGGAACATGGAATGGAGTTAACCTTCTACTTCTGCATCTCAATTATTCGAGCACATGATGACTAATTAACCATTATGAAATTGCAATACCATTTCCCGCTAAAATGCCCAATGCAGAATCAGTCACTTGCAATTCAATTAAGAAACGGTATGAAGTGTGAAATGAGATAAACATTCCAAGTTTGCCAACAACAAATCCTACTCAAACATACCCGCAATCAACACCAAAGTAAAGTAGTATTCGCTTCTATTCCCTTCCCATCAAACATGACTTCAATACCCCATTTAACCAAAAATACATTCAGCTGACCCATAACATTATCCAGACACAACTAACATGATATCCACAACTTAAATGAACCACATATCAGTCTGAATCACTCTAGAGCTTTTATATCCAAACAACAGTCAGTTTCAGCCTTTGAAACAGGCTGGCAACAACTTTAATTAAGATTCCGAACAAAAGAATACAAGATATAACCAAGCTGAGTTAGACCTACTGTTAATCAAACATTCATAACAGTCCAGAATCATGATAAAGTTCAGTCATACAATACTAAGCCTTTAACTGTGAGACATTTAACAGGAAAGTGAGTCTCTTGCTAATTCTAAACCAAATTCAACCCTCAAAAGATATTATCACCAAAGAGGAAAACATGCACCAATAACTCATGATTCTAAAGAAAAATAAAGCTACATTACGACAAAGAACAAGTTGATGTTAAGCTCCCAATCTCCAGATTTCCGTATCAAACTTGAAGCAAGTTTTACATTAGGTGGAATCAAAGAATATTTACCTGGAAATTGAAAAGGAAAAGAGGTGAAGAAGCAATGGATATCAACAGAACAAAAATACAGCAGTATCAATGCAACAACGACCTCACAGCAGCTTGAAACCCAAAAACCTAAAAATCAAACCTTCTCCCAACCCAGGTGCCCGATGTGAAACTTTCAAAGATTTAACTAATGAAGAAAATCAGAAATCCCCAGCTGATACAGAATTTGGTCAGTTTTTATCTAAGAAATATGCTGGAAATCAGTGTAGCTATAGAATTCTCAGCCATTTTTTATTTTCTCAGAATTTATTTTCTCTTTTTAGTCTCTTCGGTCTGCCTTGATAGGCAAGAAAAGCTTCCTTTATAGGCAAGCTATTAGGGCAGGCTTTTTTTTTTTGCAGCTAAAACATTTCAAGCAATTCGATAGCAAAATGTATCATTGCACACAATTGTGCTACATTGATCCAATTGATATAGAAATACAAGGTTTTTAGATGAAGCGTATCATACTAATTGATACTATTAAAAGATGCTTGAGGAAAGCAATAAAAGCTTGCGATGAGGAGTTATATGGGTTTGTTGTTCTCGGCTGATGAGAATTTTGTAGTTAACAAGTTGGAACTTCAACAGATGGGGTCATGGTGCAGGACTTCAGAGAGGAGTTTTGTCCAGATCATCAAAATAGGGGTGTTCCATAGCTTTCTTTGCTGAAATCCTCTTAGCTGGCTCATAATGCAACATCTCAGATAGAAGATGGAGCCCATCTTCATCTAGACCAGGGACAACAGTTGAGAGTGGCTGGGGGTTCCATTGGGGGTATTCATGCCAGTTAACTAGCTTGCTCACCCCGGGCCAGAGTTCTTCATTAGGAGTACCTAGCAATCTGAAAATGTGAAGCAGTTGTTGCTGCTCAGAGTCTCCTGGGAAGAGGGCTTTTTTTGTGACCAGTTCAGCAAATATACAACCAACAGACCACATGTCAACTGCTGTGGAGTAATGAGTAGCTCCAAGAAGAACCTCAGGGGCTCTATACCACAGGGTTAATATCTCATGCGTATACTTCTTGACACCCCGGGCCAGAGTTCTTCATTAGGAGTACCTAGCAATCTGAAAATGTGAAGCAGTTGTTGCAGCTCAGAGTCTCCTGGGAAGAGGGCTTGTTTTGTGACCAGTTCAGCAAATATACAACCAACAGACCACATGTCAACTGCTGTGGAGTAATGAGTAGCTCCAAGAAGAACCTCAGGGGTTCTATACCACAGGGTTAATATCTCATGCGTATACTTCTTGATGGGCAGAGTATAAGCTCTGCCAAGTCCAAAATCTGCTAATTTGAGCACATTCGTCTTACGGTCCATCAGAAGATTGTGTGGTTTCAGATCCCTGTGTAACACACCATGACCATGGCAGAAAGCAACTCCTTTGTACAGCTGGTACATCAAGCTCTTGACAGTTTTAGGGGGAATGTTTTCTCCATTTGCGCGGAAACTACGAATAAATTTCTTAACATCAGTATCCATGTACTCAAACACCAAGTATAGGACCGTCTTTCCTTCTTTGTTCTGGCCTTGTTTAATATCCATCAGTTTGACGATGTGAGGATCTCTAGAGAGCATCCGCAGAAGAGAGATCTCGCGGAGAGTAGTAGGAGGGACACCTTCTTCGTCCTCATGAAGCCTCGTCTTCTTCAGTGCTACGATTTTGCCAGTAACCCTATCTCTCGCTCTGTACACCTTTCCGTAAGTACCTTCCCCTACCTTCTCAAGCTTCTCGAATGCCTCCATGGCCGATGCACTCTTTTTCACAGTCTCCATTTCTCTCTCTTTCTCTTAATCGCTCTCTGCTCTGTTTATGGTTTTTGAATTTTGTGTAAATTTAGGGCAGGCTTAGTTTTGCACTTTTCCCCCTTCTTCATTTTTATTATAGGTCAGATACCCTTTAAAAAAAACAGAAAATCAGAACCAACCCCTTCCCCAGCTTCCTAGAAGCTTCCTAGTCTGTTATAGCAGGATTCCCTTAGGCCAATTCCCTAGAATACCCTTTAAAGACTCTGAAACTACCCAGAACCACCCGGGTCAACTGATCAAGCTAATTGGGTCAAGCTGAAAACCTAGCTCAACTCTCATTTGGCTTTTTAATCTTGTGAACCCAATCAATACTAAGAAAAACCCCAAAACCCAAACGTTCAAATTGAGATTCTGAAGACTCGGAATGAAGTTAAGCCCAAAAAGACAATGCAAATTCAGACTATCCGCACTTGAACACAAGACCCAACTTACAATCACACACATCCTAAATCTAACATGCAGGTTCGGAAGATAAAGAAGAATGATAAATAAAAAGAAACAGAATAAAAATCAGAAAATAAGAGAAAGAATAGAAGAAGGTGAGGATGAGGAAACAAAATACCAATGGGGCCAGAAGAATACCTAGGGATCTCGGACAAACACGAAATAGCCTTTACGCTTTGACATCTCCAATTTCCGGCCCAAACCGAGATTAATCGTATGTTCTTTGTCAAAAACATGCGATTAAAGTCGAACTGAGCCTTAAAATCTTCAACTAAACCTTGATTTAAGACTTGGGGATTCTATGGTTCATCCTCTGATCTAATATTCGAGAATATCGGGCTACATTCGAGGGAAACGGAGTGGGGATTCAGAACGAGGGGGTCAAAGCGGTTCGGTGGTGTGATTTTGGTGGCGTTTGGAGGTGGCGCCGCCACCTGAGGCCGGGGAATTTGGNTTTTCAAAAATTAAAATAAAACCTAAATTAATTAATAATAATTTTTTAAACTAAATTAACCTACACAATTAGATTAATCACTTACCATGGTATTTACATTAACTAATTAAATCCTAAATTTAAAGAAAAATTATACAATTCAAAATTAAAAAGTAAAAATGCAAAATGAATTATTTTTTGTGATTTTCATTTTTTATAAAACAAACTAATTTGCTAATTAATCTAAAAATATAAAATTAAATCCTAAATGCAGATGCAACATATCTTTTGTATTTTTCATGAATTAAATAAAATAAACGTGCACATACAAATGCAAATAATTAACAGAAAATGCCACGAAATCCAACAAAATTGCAAAAACTAAAAGAAATTATTTTGTTTTGAATTTGTTGGAATAATTCATATAGGGCAAAAATCACGTGCTCACAGCTGCCCCTCTTTGCCCGGAAACACGAAGAGTTTTCGCGCAAAGATAAGTGAGCGGATACGAGCGATTTTTGCCTGTTTGAATACTCCGTGGGAAGCATTTTGAAAGATTTGACTGCACTCTGCTTCCGAGGTTTCCTACATATCCTTGGCTAAAAAGGAATCAGGTCAGTGTAGTTCAGGAATGTCTGGTAGCTGGGACTACCATGGAGCTATGATTTCACTGTTGCTGCTCACTGAACCCCTTATTACACCATATCAAAAATAAAAGATGCTAGCCTAGACTATGATCTATGCTTTACAAAATCATATCTTGATCTTCAAACTTGATCTTCTATTTCTTGTTGCCTTGTTGTCTTGTATTCTCTTGGTAAAATTCCTTTGTTGCTGTCTTGAATTGTAAACTGAGATGCTTCCCTTTCTCCAAGCGGATGCCTGACTGCTGAACTTAATATGCAATCCCATGCTGTCCAGGTGGGCTCCTGACTTTGAAACATGAATATATTCCCCTGCTATCCAAGCGGGTTCTTGACTTCAAAACGTGAGTGTACTCCCATGCTATCCAGGCGGGCTCCTGACTTCAGCAAAATAGACAAAAAACAAAGAGAACTTTCTACCCCTGTTTGGTGGCTGGGCCCATGTGTGAGTGTAAAACGAATCACATTACCGAATATCAATGAGAATTTTGAAAAACCAAAACTTGAATTGTACTCCCTTATTCTCCAAGCGGGCTTCTGACTGCTAAACCTGAAAGTATTCCCTGCTTTCCAGGCGGGCTCTTGACTTCAACTTGAAAGTACTCCCTGCTCTCCAGGCGGGTTCCTGACTTCACAAATAATTCGACAGCTAAAATTTAATTGTACTCCCTTGTTCTCCAGGCGGGCTCCTAATTGCTACGCTTGAAAGTATTCCCTGCTCTCCAGGCGGGCTCCTAATTGCTACGCTTGAAAGTATTCCCTGCTCTCCAGGCGGGCTCCTAACTTCAACTTGAAATGTATTCCCCGCTCTCTAGGCGGGCTCCTAACTGCATGCATTTGAAAGTATTCCCTGCTCTCTAGGCGGGCTCCTGACTGCTAATTTGAAAGTACTCCCTGCTCTCCAGGCGGGCTCCTGACTTCAACAAAGAATTCGACACCTAAAATTTAAATTGTACTCCCTTGTTCTCCAGGCGGGCTCCTGATTGCTACGCTTGAAAGTATTCCCTGCTTTCCAAGCGGGCTCCTGACTTCAACTTGAAATATATTCCCTGCTCTCCAGGCGGGCTCCTGACTTCAACTTGAAATGTATTCCCTGCTCTCCAGGCGGGTTCCTGACTTCAAAAATAGACAAAATGAAGAAAATTTTCCTGCCCTAGTTTGGTGGCTGGGCACAGATGTGAGTGTAAAAATAAATCGTATTACCACGTATTACTAAGAATTGAAAGCTAGGTCCCATTATCCAGGGGGTCCTGAAATTCCTAGTTAAATGACAATTAAAAATCTACATTATATCTTCTAAAGTGTGACTCCTGCTAAATCTTGTGATCTAAGAGGGTCTTCAAACTACTCCCCATTATTCAGGAGGGTCCTGCAAATCAAAAGTCGAGTTTTATCTTAAGAGTGACAACTTTTATGGCTGAATTATACTACCCTACAACAAAATTTACGCTAAATGTTGCTATCTAACAAAAATTTTACAGCTAAGTCCCATTATTCAGGAGGGTCCTGGAAACTCCTAATTGAATCATATCTCGAACATGCAAACTTCTAAGCTAACTTATATTCTTTTGGGATACATTTATGCTAAATTATGCCATTTTGAACTTTAAACTAGGTCCCATTTTCCAGGAGGGTCCTGAAAGTTTACGGTCAAACCTGTTTTGATACTTGCTCTTTCCCCTGTAGAGAGTTTCTCCGAAGCAAACGAATTTTCTGCCCCTGTTTCAATCAAATAAAAATTTGTCAGTTTAAAGTGGTGGTTAGCTGATGGCATTCTTGCTGAAGATCTCTCCACTGCATTGTTTTGTTCTGAATGGCTTTCCCGAACTGACCCTGAATCGCTTTGACTTTCTGACTGACTTTCAAATCCCACGACCTTTTGACGAACCGAGTGTTTTATACCCGTGTTGTTGTTTCACACCTCTGGCCCCTTTATCTGAACCTTTGCATCTCCCATGACATTACCAAATCATTCCACCGATGAAACTTCTGGTGATTCCTTGTACCCCACCTTACATCATGCTGTCTTTAGTATGCTCTGACCACATTGTGATTTGCAATTTTGGGAGTTGGTAGTGAGCTTTGAAACTCTTTTCCACTTACTTGGGACAAGACTGACATTAAAACCTCTTAGACAAATAAACCCAAAAGAAAGTGAAATGCAATGACTTTGCGGGTTAAGGATAAGAAGAATCTAAAACCAGATAACTGCTACAAAGGGAAAAAGAAAAAGAAATAGAAACCTATCTGAGTGGAACAGCTGAAACCAATGATCATGATATGCATTTCAGATTAATTGGCCCAATCTGTCCAACAAATCAACTTTCAGTTGCCGTACTTTGTCGCCTCAAAATTTCCATGACCGGATTACTTTACCCAAACCTTGACCTTATTCATTCTGCGGTGCCTTGAAATAGTTTTCCACCAACAAGCCTTTCTCACTTGTTGACTTTTCAACTCACTTTCGCCTCAAGGTGCCCGTGAGGGTTTTCACCAACAAGACTCTCTCATTTTATTTCTCTCAACTCCCGTCGCCTTACGGTGCCTGTGAAGGTTTTCACCAATAAGACTCTCATTTTATTTCTCTCAACTCCCGTCGCCTTATGGTGCCTGTGAAGGATTTCACCAATAAGACTCTCTCCTTTTTATTTTCCTGCTTGAACCAGAGTGTTGCCCCTGACATGAATTACCTTTACCTGCTCTACTTGGCATTTCCCAAAGATTGATCAGAAGGTCTTTCTTTGGACCGTAATGTGGGCTTTTGGACCGGGTTGGAAAGAAAAAGTATAAAAGGCTCAAAACAATTCAAATGGGTTAGAATTACATCTTTCGGAATTAGGTTTCTCACAATAACCACAACTTCTGCCCCAGTTTCTTGCTTGGGGGATTTTAGATTTTGTTTGATGAGACCAAACCGTGAGGTTGCCTACGTATCCTTAAAAGGAATAAGGTCGAACATAGTTCATGTCATAGGAATTACTTTGTTGTTGTGATTTTCTCTTTTCTCTTTCTTTTCTTTCTCTTTTTGCTTTCTTTTTCTCTTTTTGTTGTTTTTTTTCTTTTTTTTTTCTTTTCTTTCTCTTCGTTTTTTCTCTTTTTTTCTTCTTCAATTTTCACTTTTCTCCTCTCCCTTTCGTTCTTTTCTTTTCTCCTTTTCCTTTACTTATCTTTCATGCTTATGCTTATGATCTTCGCTACTGACTCCGAAGGAGGGGTAAGAAAGAAAATAAATAAGGCTCAAAAGGGGTGACGAGGGATAAAGTGTTTTAGATAGCAGAACAAAACGCCTTCGTCATTTCAATCTTCAAAATATGCCAAATACAAACAAGTACAAACAAACAAAGAAATCATACATAGTATCTCTTGACTGCATCGGAATTGATAGTCATTTCCACACATTTCCCTTCCACATATGTCAAATATAACGCACC